CACTCCCACCAAGGAAAGAACGATGGCCATCGGTGATCGGTCCTGTGGGAACAATGTTCCGTCCTTTCCAGGACACGCGGTGAGTGGTCTAACCGCTAAGGCATGCAAAACAAAGGAGTACGCCGCCCCCCCCTCCAACTGCCATTTTACCCCCGCGAGGATTCGGACTGCCAGAATGGCCTGCGCCTCGCTACACCGATCACTTCACTTGGATCGCTTGTAGATCTTGTCGATGAACTGGTGGAAGACCTGCAGGAACAGGAAGCAGACGGTGGACGTCGTAGGTGGAGCGTGAGAGAAAGGAGAAAAAAAATAACCAAGCAGCGTACGAAGCAAGAAGGCGGCCCGACGGCGAGCAAGACTGCTGTCGGGTGCAAACGCGTGGTCGTGGACTTTCTTTTCTGACGGTGCCTTCGTGCGTCAAGAGAAACAGCACCGATGACGCCGCAAGTGTTGCACACATACCTACAGCAGTAGTGTAACGCGGAGATAAAGGCGGTGCCTACGAAACCACGGCGCCTGCTGCGCAACGACGACGCCCCAGCGAAAACAAGCCTATTTTTTCAACTCCTTCGCTGGAAAAAAAATAAAACTTTCTAAAAAACATACGAAGTACAAGATGACGACCGGCACGGGCAACAGATGCACACCGCCTGTCCAACTAGAAACGCGCCAACCACCACGCACGTGCGCTCGCACGGCGCGTGGAAACCACGGTTCGTATTAAATCACAGTGCGCATATCGCGATAAATATACACATTTCAATGTTTCGTCCAAAACCGCAGCGCGCGTCTTCCCACAAATAAGACAACAAAAAACGTATCATGCTCGGTACAACTTCACAGATGTACCGAAATATTCGCGTGCGCAGCCCGTCGGCATGCGCCTTCACTTCGTACAGGAAAAAACACACACACACACACACACACACACACATACGCACACACCGCACTGAGACTGACGTCTTCTCAGCGGTCAGTCGGTTGGCGCGGTTGATGCCCATAACAAAGGCACACACAGGCAAAATTTCTGTCAAGATGATGATGAGAATGATGGCAGTGAAAGCAAGGAGGATGATGGTGAAAGCTCTCCAACACGAACTCGAGTGCAAGGTAGCAGCCTCGGTAGACGCGTACAAATTTCTTGTGTTGCCACCGTTGCCGTCGTTGATCCGGATAATAGCTTAGCCTCTCCTATGCCGCCCCCTCACAGGGTACCAGTTCATGGCATATAGAAGTGTTTGTGTTTCAACGGCACTGAGAACTGACGTCTTTTCAATGGTCAGCCGGTTAGCGCGGTCGATGCTGATAATTAACAAACACATGAGCTGCAGGCGCTGCCCCGTGCGCCGTACACACAAATGAACGCAGATCCGTGCTGGGCAAGCTGTGGCAACAGATTCACAGGTTGTGTGAGCGGCGTCGCCCCCCCCCCACCCATTTCCTGCGGGAACAATGCCTCGTCCTCTCGAGGACGCGTGGTAAATGGTCTAACTGCTACTGCATGCAAAACATGGGTACGCCCCCCCCCCTCCCCCGTTTCCTCACCGCGTGGGGGATGTCCTCAACCTTCGCGATGAGCTCCTTGATCTGCTTGTGAGTGTCCTCCTCGTACTTGGCGTACACTTCCTCCAGCTTCAGCTCGCGGTACAGCTCCTTAACGCGCTCGATCTTGACCAAAAGAACAACAAAAATGCAAACACAAAACAAAAATTAACCCTCACACTCGAAAGATACAGCAGTAGCACAGAGGCTGTCCTTGCGATTCTTGTGTGCCGCTTTTTCTTTTGTCGCGAATTTTTGCGGTGTTTGGTCGATTTCGCGAGGTCGATGCCAACCAACGAAATACCGCCATTGCACAACATTGTTGCCTTGGTTCGAAGAGGTCGCCAAGAACGCCGATGTGGTTCGGCAAGGAGGCTCTCATGCCGTGTGTGTGCAGGAGTCGAAAAGGTATACCTTGCTCCCCCGAAGCTTTCGGCACAGCCACCCTCGCGCTCTGCTCGAACATGACTTGTGGTAACAGCAAATTGCATGTCCCATTGAAACGGCGAAGCTCTTCGCGACAACCGCTTGGTTGGACCGACACACGAAAAACAAAAACGCCACCAACAAGCTGAGCGTGAAAAGCCGCATCGACACCAACACAACCAACAGCGGACTACGGTAGACTACAACAGCACTGCCGCACGTTTCACACCAATACCATCGGTCGCCTCCCCCCCCCCCCCCCCCC